AAATTCGGGTATGAGAATGACTTTTAGAGAAACATCCTCGTCAATAACCCCAAAGGGATCGGAAATTCACATAATGAGAATCAAACTGAAAATCAGATTATTTTTTTAATTTATTTCAGATTAGAAACTTTACTACGACGTTACAAGAAGTTTGTCTTGAGGCTACAAATTTCAAAGCATTCTTGATGATTTAACAACAGGTGAGTTTCCTTTAAAAAAAAACGCCTATATCACTAATTGTGCTAAGTTTTGAAAGGACAGTATTTAAGTTACTTGATTTTGATGCAAAAGAAACGAAATCATCCTCTGGGCTCCTGATGTACGCGCATGGTGCCAGTTACACTTTAGGAGAAGGATCTACAATGATGTAGTACAAAAAAATGCTTTTAAATCATGATTTCAAGTTTCCCGAAAAGATAACTGATCTCACTTGTGAATGCATGCTGGGAGAAGTTTGATTAGTTGCTTTAACGACTTTATGCTCTTATAAAAATACATTCTTTCTAAAAAATTCCAAAAAACATATCAACCCCATGCTGCTATGAATCTCTTCATAATTCTAACGTAGATGTTGTCAAATTGTGCATCATTTACGAGAAAAAAAAATGATCTTTGTTTATGGCAGACATGGACTATTATAACTCGTCAACTTGTGCAAGGTAAACGTGTGTTTTATGATGAATCCATCAGGGTAAAGGCATAACAGTGGTTTTCACTTATTATAACATTATTATGGTTTGTCACTCAAGAACCTTTCCCGGAAGTTCTTTTACTTTTGCGAGTAATTTACGTCCAAAAATGATTAGACAAAAATTTATAAACTTACAGACACAAACGCTCCTGTACTCCTTAAGTTTCTTGAAATTGTTCTGGTTACCGCGACATCCACCATAATAAAACTTCTTACATCTTTTAGTGCGCTTGTTGTAAAAATATCGAGGGATCCGGGCCCTGCATGGTCATACTTTTTTCGGCCGGTGGCAAATTGACTTTGGTTTAACAGCTGAACAAACAAAATGACAACAAAATCTACATGTACCATGGCGAGGCTAACAAACGCAAGGCAAAATTAATTATGGCTTTCTATTGAAATGCATTATTTTGGCCTTCATATTACCTATTTTTTATTTTTTTTTGTACGTGTGGCTTGTACCGATTATAACAGTTATTATATTGAGGCTCATTTAAGAACGGTTTTCGTACAACCAGACAATGACCTGGAAGCAATCATTCGCTCTGAAGAGGGCTCAGGTTAATTAAGGCCTGAGTCACCCTGTCTTTAACCCATATTTTCACAAAATTGAGAATAACTTAGCTATTTTGCGAGGGATTTTTCTCATACTTGGCAGAAATGTGTATCACTACCATCTCTCTCGGACTGAATTGTGGCAGCGTAATATGATACTCTCAACAGCCAAAAACAGTTAATTTAGGCGCCAAATTCGTCGGTTGCTTTCTTGAACAAATTCCCACCACAAAACACAAGGCAAATCAAAATGCAGTTATCGCTATGAATATTTGAGACGTTTTTCATTGTTTTCCCACTTGGAATGGCTGCCAAAAAAAAGAGAGATGTGCTAGGCAGATTAAATCAAGTTTTGTCTCTGCGAAGCTGCTTCATCTATCATGGTTTTCGCCCGAAAACATCTTAGCCTTTACCTGGTTCCAACCGCTATCAACGAAAGTAATCCCACAGGTTCCTATTTATTTGGAAAAAAGACAAATTAAAACTGTTTAAGAGGTGGGAATTTTGAAAACTCGCAGTCACGTAATTCAACTTAGTGTCCGCCATTTTGACACGCGAGTCACGCGAGTGTTCAGAAGCAATAATTTAACGGCTGATACACTACCAAATACTAATTGGAGCAATCTAAGAAGTAATACAGGCAAACTTTGTATACTTTTGGTGATATTTATTTCTTTTTCTCGTTTTCTGAGGTCGATTGCATCTCTGTAAATCCAGGGTTAGATCGCCTTTGACAGTTCTAATAAAACACAATTGCAATTTTGGCGCAAAACTTGAAAGTTATCGCACTGATTCCTTGAAACTCTTCAGGGTTTTGTTCCCTAACAACGGTACTACTCGATAACGAGCTAAGTGTATTCGTGTGAAACGAAAATGTCTGTCATTTTTAATTGTGCAGGATTTGCAAGAGTTGCTGTAAAGGAGAGCTTTCGTAAGATTGGAAGTGCTTCGGTTGAAACTAACCCTAGTGAAAAGTGGAAGAACTATCTTGCAGAGTTCGAGGGTGACAGTCAGGAAGTCTTCGCGGTCGAACGTTCCACCTACGTCAAGAAATCCAAAGCAATTTACAGCTCTTTC